ATTCCTTCTCCGTCACGTAGCAATAACATCGTCTGTCCTGGCTTCCTAAGCAGGCTCTGAGTTTCATGCAAGATGCTTACGTGAAAATGGGTTGTATGCTAGCCAGATAGATGGAAAAGATTAACATTTGACTCTCTGGAATCAAAGCCAGTTTTCTGAGGTGGCTGCCTTTGATTTTTGTCCTTTAATTCAGTACTCTTTTACATTTCTGTTAGTAAGCATGTTGTTCCTGTTTGTGTGGTTGGTGGATAAAAGCCTTATTCCAAATAACGATAATAAACACTGTTTATTCGGCACATACTATCTTGCTAGGTCTTGTCCCGTTACTTTATTTACAGTATCTTCTTTTAATTCTGCTGTGAGGCTGTATTGTCCCTCATTCCACTGTTGATAAAACTGACCTTGGAAAAGCTGTGGCAGAGGGGCCACCATTCACCGTAGGGTTTCTCTGACCCCCAACGCCCCCGTTCGGGACCATTGCTGACCGCTTCCGGACAGAGGAAGGAAGCGCCGTGCCCTTCACGGTGCTGCCACGTGCTGGGGGGTGTGCAAGGAAGGGCAGCTCCCGAGCCACTATAGGGATGGCAGAAGGTGGGAGCATAAAGGTCCTCCTTCTTTTAGAAACTATTCTTTTCTTTCACATAATTCTAACAAGTTCGATAGTTTCGTTCTAAGCCTCCGAAGCAGCCAATGAAAAAGAGGGTGAGCGCAGACTGCCCACACCGACAGTCGAGAGAGGCAGGTGCTAAGTTCAAACGTTCAGCTGCTGTGACAGTAACCAAGGAGACAGAATACATTTTTTAAAAGATTTTACCCATTTATTTCCAGAGAAAGAGAGGGAGAGGAACATCAGTGTGTGGTTGCGTCCCATGCACCCCCAACTGGGGACCCGGTCCACAACCCAGGCATGTGCCCCAACTGGGAATTGAACTGGTGACCCTTTGGTTCGCAGGCCTGTACTCAATCCACTGAGCCATACATACCAGCCAGAGCAACAGATTAAATATAAAAGTCAGAACAAGAACATTAAAATAGCACACCAGTCTGGGGTCATTTGGTGAAGTACACTTGATAACCTCAAGCCTCGAAGAAACATTTTAAGTAGTTTAAGTGAAGTTTTATTGTTGCTGTTTTAGGAAAATAGCTAATGCATTTTAGAAAGGTTTCTTCCAAAATCATGAAGATAACATTATAAGTGTTAAAGTTAACCTTTCTGGAAAACAGCTATCTAAAATGGTGTCCCTGGGTAGCCAGAGAGGGCAGGGAGCAGGCGGGTCTCAAAACCCATGGTCACTTGCTTTAAGGGAACGTTGTTACAGATTGGCTCCGCTTTTCCCTTCTGTTCTGCTCTCCTCATTTCCTGCCACCGAAGAAGCACCTTCACCCACTCGCTCTGTGACTTGAGCTGGCACGCAGAGCAGTTGTTCCTTAGAGCAGCTGCTGTGTGACTGGGGCCGTGCCAGCCCTGGGAATACAGTGGTGTCTGACAGGTGCAGTCCTGCCCTTGGTGGTTTGTGGGTAACTGAGGAGAGCAACCCAGAAGCAGGTGTTGAGAATCAAGTTCAGCATAGGCTGCTATAGGACGGCACAGCAGGGGCAGACAGCCTTTTTGTGTGCGGCAGAGAGTATGATGGAAGGGTCATGGGACTTCCCAGGAAGAAAGACGACGGGCTGCCGTCTTAAGTAGGGAAGAATATTCCCAGCAGAGGGAATAACATATGAGGAAGTCCAGAGGCCAGAGAACAGTGTGCAACTGGGAAACTTGCAGATACACTAGGATTTTTCTTGACCTACATACAGAGTATGAGCCCAGAGACTGGGGGGCCATCCTGATGCGAGAGGCGAAGGGGAGCAGCACAGATAGGACAAGGCCAGTGTAACGTGTGAGAGAGTTTGGACTTCACCCTGAGCAGCAGCCAGGAGTCTGAGGGTTTTAGGCAGGGCCCTGCATACTCCTCCAGCTCCTGTTGCTCTCCAGTCTCTGTATCACCGGTCAGACTGGATTCTTCGTTGCTGCAAAGGCCAAGGTCATTCATTCTTGCCTTAGGCCTCTGCCCTTTTCTTTTCTTCCGCCTGGAATGTCCTGTAAAGACTATCCTGGTTGCAGTGTGCCAATTCAGTTAGAGGAAGTTGACCCTGGAAATGGGGCTGGAATCGGAGGCCAAAGCGGCACATCAAAGAGGGGAGGAGTTGATGTTCTAAACTGGGGAAGTGGCAGTTTGGAAAGACAGACAAGGACAGACGTCTGCAGTATTTTAGGAGGTACAATTGACAGTGTCTGGCAAGTGATTAAGTCGGATGGCAAGAATGATACCTCAGGCCCTTGATACGCAAGTGGACAGAGCAGCAACACCGAGTGACCGGGTCTCCAGTGATCGAGCTGCCTCGCGGTGTGTTTTGGGACTTCCCTGCCCCCGTGGAGCACGAGCTGCCTGGATCTGCTCCCTGAACTGTCGTGAATAGAGCTGATGGATTCCAGCTGCGTTAATGCAACCCATGGCCTTGTTTATGTCTAATCTTAACATTTATGATTCTGTGCCTTGGGCTCTCTATAAACTAATACTAATAACACGCTAACTAGTGAGCATGAAGGAATAAGTGAGACAAAAGTCAAAGTGAATGACCAAGATGATCATGATCAAGTAGCTCTCATTAAAAACTTTTTAAGTGCATGATTTGCATTTCCATATGCAAAGTCCCTTTAACAAACTTGGCTTACATGCTGTGCTCCCAGCTAGAGATGCTTAACTCTCTGCGTTTGTTTAAATTCTGAAACCCAGCCATTCCCAAGCCGGGCCCCCTGAACACCAGGCTCCTACTGCCTGGAGTTTTTTCTGTTTACATTGCTGCTATAGAGACTTGGTTTGTTTCCGAAAAATGCATTTTAGCGTTTGTGTGGCGAGCCACATTTGTTATATTTGAACCACGTGTGACGTCAGGGAGACGGGTAACCACTTGGCTTAGAGGGGGCAGGGTGACTCTGGGTCGGCAGAGAGGGACTTCCTGCCAATTTACAATGCACTGGGTAGGTGCAGATGGTGGCAGAAATTAAAAGCCTGGATGTGTACATACACACACACATGTATATTTGTACATGTCAAAAGGCTAATGTGGATATAAAGCTTTTGTATTAAATTGGACTGTGCTGTTTCCCAGCCTTAAACATAAGAGTCTATATGGCTTACTTTGGAGTCGAATAGCAGGTAACTCTTAACTGACCTAGAAGTGCCTCTAGGACCATGCCTCATTCATGTCTTATTATGCCTTCAGTTATATAAACTGTGAGGAGTCAAACAGAGGACAGTGGGAACTGGCTTCATCTGCTAGCAGAGTAATTCATAAATTAATAACAGAGATGGGAAGCTAAGGTCCAGAGAGGTTGATTAGTTTATAGGCCACAATAAATTCATTCCTTCATTCAATAAGCTTGTATTTAGTATGTATTATATAGGTGTTCTAGTTAGCTCTTTCTGTATAACACATCACCCTAAAGTGCAGTGACTTAAAAGAGCACACATTTATTGTCTCACACTCTCTGTGGGTCAGGAGACCTGCACGTGGCTATTCTGGGTCCTCTGCTTCAAGGTCTCTCGTAAAGCTGCGGTCAAAGTGTCTGCCGGGTCTGGGGTCGCATCCAAAGACTCCGCTAGGGAAGGATCTACCTCGGGCGTACGTAATTATCGGTAGGACTCAGTCTTGCAGAAGCTTAAAGTCTCGTTTTCTTGCGGGCTGTTGGCCGAAGGCCATCCTCAGTTCCTCTCTCACATGACGTATTACTCCATCAAACTGTATATGCCAAGAAGGCAATAGAGAGAGTCTGCTATCAGCAAAGCAGAAGTCACAGTCTCTTGGAACCTCATCACAGAAGTGGCATTCCATTAACTTTGCCACATTCTGTTAGTCAAAAGCAAGTTACTACTCCAACCCACGGTCAAGGGGAGGGGATTACACAAGGGCATGACCACCAGGAGGGTGGGGGTCATTGAGGGCCATCTTTGAACGCTGTGTCGCAGTCAGTACATATTCAGGTTTCCGTACTCTCAGTTACAGCATAGACCAAAACATCTGATTGTGTGATTGTGAAACACTAGTACATTTACTACGATAGGCCCAAAAAATGTGCCTCGGACACACACCAAAAACAATGTCTATGTAATCCCTTACTGGGTCTTTGGGGGTGTAATTAGGTTAAGGATTTCAAGATGGAGAGATTACGCTGAATTATGCAGGTAAGGCCCAATGTAATTACACAGGCCCTGGTAACAGAGAGGAGGAAGAGGAGGAGCTGAGGAAGAGAAGGTGATGTGGCGATGGAAGCAGAGGCTCGAATTCTGCAGCCACAAGCCAAGGAACAGGGGCAGCTTGCAGAGATGGAAGAGGCAAGGAATAGGGGCTCCCCCTTTGAGTCTCCAGAAGGACAAACAGCTGTCACCTTAACTTTAGTTCCATCAGACCCAGTTAGTACCTCTGACCTCCTGAACTGAAGATAGTGAATTTACGCTGCCTTTGCCTCTGATTGTTCTAGTTGCAGTAGGACACTAGTACACTTACCAAAGGACCTTGGGGAGACCCACTGCGGAGCTTTTGAAGGGACGATGGGAGGCACAAAGGGTAAAATGACAGACTTCCAAGACATTTCCCTGCCCTCTAGTGACTCTGAAACAATTTACACATCGTAGCTTCTGTTTTTAAGGAAAGTGTTCCTAGTTCTCTTCAATACAAAATTCTATCAATAGTGAACAGGTAAAAAAAAAAAGTTTCCTAGGGTTAGTAATATGGGCCTCACCTACTCTTCAAAGTGAGAAACAAAGAAACAAAAACGTGGCATTTAGCAGAGGACACTAAGGCTTCCAGTTTGAAAGCTTGTTATTTGTTATTTATTTGTGCCTGAGGAGTGGAAAGATTGACTGAGATGACAGTACCTGGTGCAACATGCTTTTCCGCCTCGGTGTTTCCCAGCCAGACGTTGTGAAATTCCTTTGTTGTTCTTTTTCCTCCAGTGCCTGGAAACCTCGGCTGCTACAAGGATCACGGAAACCCACCTCCTCTAACTGGCGCCAGTAAGACATCTAACAAACTGACCATACAGACCTGCATCAGTTTCTGTCGGAGTCAGAGGTTCAAGGTAATTGCCCTGGGGCTGTATATCTATAGAAATAGATAAAGATGTAAATGCATTCTGCTGAGATGACCTAAAAACATGTGTGTGTCTTTGAAACACACCCTGTAAGCCATACAACTTTATAGTTTTCTGCCAAGAATTTGGAGGAAGGGTGGGGCTTAGGATTCAGGAGACTGAAAGAAAAGGACCTGAGGGAACATCCCCAGTATCTGCATCGCTATGTGATTTCTGACAGAGTCACACACTTCCTTGTGCCCTTGTGTGAATGAGCAGGGCACTCGGGCTCTACTGGAGACCTGGGAGTAAGCCAACGAGGTTATCACTTCCTTGACGCGTTTGAGGGCCCAGCCGAGACACAGTTCCAAATGTCCTCTTTCCTTCCTAGCCATTCCTCTATCTGAAATCCATTCTTTGGCCATTAAAAATCAATAATGCTATTGTTTATTATATCAAAAAAGAACTAACTTGTTTCCTTCCCTTCCTTCTTTCCTTCCTTCCGCCCTCTGCCCCTCCCTCCCTCCCTCACTCCTTCTCTTCTTCCCTTCTCTCCCTCCCCCCTTTTCTTCCTTCCCTCCTTACTAATTCAGTCAAAAGTCCATTAATCAGGCCCATGCAAGGAGAATAACCTAGCAGAGCTCAGGACCTTTGTCAGAAAGGTGACTGAACAAGACAGTTGGCCCGGCATGATCGAGAGATTAGTTGCTTGCAAAGGATTGATCTTCTAAGTAAATATATTGAGTGCAATGGGAGCCATGTTTCTCATGTTGAACAAGGGAGCCAGGGAAAGCTGGAACGACGCATGTAATGTTGGACAGGGACTGAAGTTATTAGCATAGTGCATAGTTTTTGATACAGAAAGACAAAAATGAGTGGCTGAGTGGATTGAGCATCGGACTGTGAAGCAACAGGTCACCGGTTCGATTCCCAATCAGGGCACATGCCTGGGTTGCAGGACAGGTCGCCAGTAGGGGGCCCTCAAGGGGTAACCACACAGTAATGTTTTCCTCACTCTCTCCCTTCCCCTCTCTCTAAACATAAATAAATAAAATCTTTAAAAAAACATATAGTAATCAAGAAAGTGGTATTGGCATAACAGTAGTTCCATAGGTCAGAAGTCACCAAACAATGACATGTGGGCCAAATCTTATCACCCACCTATTTCTAAAGTTTCATTGAAACATAATCACACTCATTAATCTACAGCAAAGCTGAGAAATTGAACAGAGACCGTATGGCCCACAAAGCTGAAAATATTTGCTATACTATCTGGTCATTCATAAAAAAAACTTTTCCAATCTCTGCTGTAGATCAATGAAAATAAATAGAGTCCAGAAATAGACCTGCACTTATATGGACAATTGGTTTTCAACAAAGATGCCAAGATAATTCAGTGGGAGAAAGGATGGTCTTTCAGCAATGATTTTGGAGAAAAACTGGAGCTCTTTATGGAAAAGAAAAAAAAATGAACCTCTATTCTTATAACACATCATAGACAAAATTAACTTTTTCTGAAAAAAGAACTATGGTACTGGCATAAAGATGGACCTACAGATCAATAGGATAGAATTTAGAGTCCAGAATTTCATATGCACATTTATGTGAAGTTGACTGATTTTTGACAAGGGTGCCATGTCATCTAATGGGGAAAGAATAGTTTTTTTCAACAAATGATGCTGGGACAAGTGGGGATCCACATGCGAAAGGATGATTCTGAACCCCTTACCTCACATCATATACAAGAATTACCTAAAAACAGATCAAAGATCTCAATGGAATAGCTAAACCCATAAAGCTCGTAGGAAGAAGCACAGGTATAAATATGCATGACCTTGAATTAGGCAATGGTTTTATAGTTATGATACCAAAAGCAACAGCAATCGATGAAAAAATAAATTGGACTTCATCAACATTTAAAACCTTTTTGTGTCAGGAACACTATTAGGAAAGTGAAAAACAACTCAGAGAATAGAAGAAAATATTTACAAACCGTATATCTGAAAAAGGATGTAACGCCTAGAGTATATAAAGAATTCTTACAATATGACAATAAGGAAACAAACAACCTAACTAAAAAATTAGCACAGGATTTGAATAGACATTTCTCCATAGAAGATACTCAAGTGACCAGTAAGTACATGAAAAGATACTCAGTATCATTGGTCCGTAGGCTGAGAAGGCCAAGATCGGGGTATTGGCAGACGAGGTGTCTGCTGAGAACTTGTTTCCTGGTTCACAGGCAGCCATATTCTCCCTGTGTCCTCACCTGGCAGACGGGGCAGGGGAGGCCTCTGGGGTCTCTTCTGTAAAGACACTGATCCCAGGGCTTTGCCTTCATGACCCCATCACCTCCCGAAGGCCTCACTTCCCATTACTGTCACTTCTGGAATGAGCTTTCAACATAGGAATTTGGTAGGGGAGAAGAACACAGACATTCAGTCCATGGCATATGACATTTTTGGAAAAAAACAAACAAACAAACAAACGGCAGGAATAGAAAAGTCGTCAGTGGTTGCCAGGAGTTGTAGGAGGGGAAACTGCAGTAACAGCGTGACCAAGGTTATGGGGGTGATGCACCTGTCCCGTGTCCTGATTGCAGGAGCGGTCACACAAGCCTGTGCCCGGGTTGAAGTTCATAGAGCTCCACATCATATGAATAGTTTACTAAATGGTAATAGAAAAAATAAATAAAAATTTAAACGGGGCCTCCAATGAGTTTGCTGGAGGACTAGCTCTAAGGAACTTACCATCTGGCACATGGTAAAAATTCAATAAAATGCTTAGCTGTTATTATTACCACTGTTTCAAGCATTTGGGATTCCCCCCTTAAAACTTAGTTGAATTCAGCAGAACTGTAAACATTTAAAAGGCATGCTCTCTGAAGGGGAAACACGGTGGTAACACAGTTACTGATCGCGGTGTAGCGAGTGTTAACAAGAATAGGACAAGGGCGAGGTCCCGAGGGAAAGGTGGGCTGGGACGGAGAGGCTGGTTGCTGGCTGGGGCCAGCTTTCCCAGGCTCCTTCAGGGCACGTGACATCTCCGGCTGACACTTACCAAGTACCGCTTCTCTGTTGTGGCAGTTTGCTGGGATGGAGTCAGGCTACGCTTGCTTCTGTGGCAACAATCCCGATTACTGGAAGTACGGGGAGGCCGCCAGCACCGAGTGCAACAGCGTCTGCTTCGGGGATCACGCCCAGCCCTGTGGTGGCGATGGCCGGATCATCCTCTTCGACAGTGAGTATGCCCTGGGCCCATTGCTGCTGAAGACACGGAACCCTTGGGCTGGGGAACAGGCCTGCTCGCTCTCCCTTCCTTCCATTGGTTTTTTTCATCCACTTGGCAATGCTTACTAGGCACCTTCTGCAGGCCAGGCGCTGACCAGACCCTGCGATACAGCGCTGAACACAAACACTCCGCCCCTGCCCTCTAGAAGGGAAGGCGTTCATTTAACAAGTGACCAGTGACAGTGTGTCCTGTGCTGGAAGAGCCATGGCCTTTTGAGACAACCTAGAAAAGATGACCTTTCCAATTTGATGGAGACGCTGACAAACTGATTCAGCATCAGCTTTAAGATCCTCTTTAAAAAACAAACAAAAAATCATCTTGTTTTAATGTGACCACCAAGCCCTTTTAGTGTTTTCTTAGGCCTTTCGGGATTTATATCTTATTGTAATGCAGCTGAGCAGAGCACAAGCTTTGAGGTGTCTTCCAGGCCCAGTACTGAGTGTGCCCTGACTGACCCACTTCCTCCCTGACCTGCCACACTTGTGAAATGCTGGCTGGAGGCCGCATGTGTTCCGAATGGGGTATGGATCCGAGGCCTGGGCCTCTCCAACAACTGGTTACAACCTCTGGGCCGCCTGATCCCTCGTCATAACCCAGCCACGCCCACTCAGTCGGAGGGAGACTCTGAGAGCCACAACAGCGCTCTCTGGTACCACAGTCCTAGATTTCAAGGTGGCAGAAAGGAGATGGTCACAAACGAGGCAGATGTGAGAAAGACTTGAGATCACTAAAACATGCTATAGTCTATAATGTTTCTGTTACACTCCTAACATCACTAGGCAGAGTGGCTCAGTTTTAGGCAGAAACGTCATATGGTGTGTTAGTTTCCTAGGGTGGCCATAACAAATGATCACAAACTGTGTGGCTTAAAACCTCAGAAATGTATTCTCTCATAGTCCGGGAAACTAGGAGTCTGAATCAAGGTGTCATCAGGTGCACGGTCCCTCTAAAGGCCCCAGGGAAGAACCCTTCTTTGCTTTTTTCTAGCGTCTGTTCATTGCTGGTACTCCTTAGCATTTTTGGCTTGAGCTGCGTTACTCCCAGTCTCTCCTTTGTCTTCACGTATTCTATTCATCTTTCCTCGGTGTCTATCTGTGCCTCTGTGTCTCTCTGTGTATTTCCTATAAGGACCCTCGTCATTGGATGTTGGGCCCACGCTAATCCAGTGTGGCCTCATTTAACTTGATTGCGTCCGTAAAGATGAGATCCTGTCTTTAAATAAGGTCACATTCCCAGACACCAGGCATTAGGACTTCGACGTGTCTTTTTGGAGAGCTATGTTTCGGGGGAAGGGAGGCAGGGGAAGGGTCACCGAGCAGAGACTGCCAGTGACGTCCATACCTCTCATTGTCCAGGGACAAATGCTCAGTTTCTGTTAAAGAAAACCGAGCCTCTAAAGATACAGAACCTTGGCTAATGTTAAAGGAAGAATAGCTGGCAAACAGTATGCACCGTACTTCTGTTGAACCTTTCATTTCCAGGGTTCAGTATTGTAAAATCCTCTGCCTGGACAGCCTAACCCAGATGAGTATGTTTCCTGAGCTCACAAATTGTCTAGCAAACCCTTAAGTGGAGAAAGGAAGGAGGTGAACATTGACTACCTTGTATGTAAAGGGTCTTTATAGAAATTATTACATTCGGTCCCCCAGCAGCCATCAGAGGAAGGCACTATTTTATCTCTCCAACCTGACCTAGAAGGTCCGTGGACGTGAGAGGATAGATGACTCACTGAGGCTCACTCTGCGGACAAGCCGTGTGGGGCTCTAGCCAGTAAACAGAAGCAGGGTACGTGGGTTCACTACCTGCTTTTCCACTTTGAACAGAATATGGTATTAATTTTCTGTAGCACTATTCAAGCTCACTTCATTTGTTCTTGCAACATAAAACTCCAACAGTGTTATTTAGTGTTCTGATGTACGTGAACTAGGAAAATAGGAGAAACCCAATGGTATCAAAAGTATTGTGGAAAAAAATGAACTTAAATATATCAATATAAACAAAGTACTAGTCTTCCTCCATTACTGCTTAGAAAGGTAGGATTGCTTCTCCATTTACAAACTAGAATCAGGACAGTTTAAATTTTTTAAATTTTGCATGTCAAACTCTGCCATTGCTTATGTAGGAAGAGAGCGTGCTCACCAGCTTCTGTACACAATCAAGTATACAGTGTTGCGTGGAAGAAAACAGCAGCTTAGTTAAAGTTTTAGGGGAAAACAATCAAATAGATATGTAGATTTAAAGTCCATTATTCAGGAAAGAGGAATCCACGAATGAAGAGCCTCCCGGCATGCAGCTTCCACACCCCGCGCCCCCTGCCTCTCCTTCGTGCCCCCCGGGTTTGACCTGTGCATAGAAGAGCACTTGAGTATTGTGTTAATTTTTAACAACGGAAAGTAAGTGGTGCTGAGGATATGGAGAAATGGCAGTCCTCATACGGTGCTGGTGGAAACGTTGACTTGTGCAGCTGCTTTGGAAAACGGTCTGGCAGTGTCTTCAAACATGAAACAGACTTACCTCTGACCCAGTTTCCACTCTTAGGTATGTGCCCAAGAGAGCCGGAAACATATGTTCGTACAGACACCCGTACAGCCAAAAGTGGCAACAACCCTCCGTCCATCAAGCGATGAACTGATAAACAAAATGTGGTATAGGCAGACTGCATTTTATTGCACTTCACAGATACTGCTTTTTTTTTAAATTTTACAAATTAAAGGTGAGACCATTTTAAAGCAAAAAGATTGACTTGCTGAACGCTCAGGTGATGGTCAGCATTTTTTAGCAATAAAGTTTTTAAATTAAGGCATGTACTTTTATTAGACATAATGCTATTGTATACTTAATGGGTTACAGTGTAGTATAAACATAACCTTTAAATATTTCTTTTGGGCCCTGGCTGGTGTAGCTCAGTGGATTGAGTGTGGGCCTATGAACCACACGATCACAGTTCGATTCCCAGTCAGGGCACATGCCTGGGTTGCAGGCCAGTTCCCAGCAGGGGACGCATGAGAGGCAACCATACATTGATGTTTCTCTCCTTCTTTCCTTCCCTTCCCCTCTAAAGATAAATAAATAAAATCTTTAAAAAAATTATTTAATAAAATTTATAAAAATAAATAAAATAAATATAAATATTTCTTTGAGAGAGAGGAAGGAAGAAAGAGAAGGAGAGAAATATCGACTGCTTGTCTCTTGCATGCGCCGACCAGGCACTCACCCCCACTGGGAATCGAACCGATGACCTCACGATCCACAGCCAGTGCTCAGTCCACGGAGCCACACCAGCCAGGGCGAAACACAGGTTTTATGTGTAGCGGGAAACCCAAATTCCCGTGGCTGACTTCACTGAAATAGTCACTTCATTGCGATACTTGCCCCATGGCAGTGGCCTGGAACCAACATGCAGTATCTGAGGTTGGCCCGTGTGCTGTGCAGGGAGATCGTCATGAGCCCCAGGAAGAAATGAAGTGCGGACACACGCTACAACACGCCACTCGTTTTGTGGTTGCATTTATAGGAAACGTCCAGAACAGGCACATCCATGTAGACAGGGCACAGACTCGTGCTTACCAAGGCTGGGGAGAGGGCAGGGACGGGAGGTGGCTGCCGCCGCCTGGGCACAGGTTCTCCTCCTGGGGTTTCGGAGATCTGCTGCCGGCAGATGACGGGCATGGTCGTACCACACTGTGAACGTGCTGGTGCCACTAATTATACACTTTAAAATGGTTAAAATGGAGACATTTTTATTAATAAACGATAGAATGTGGGTTTTATATGGTAAGTTTTCATTCAGCACATTTTTACTGGGGTATCTGCCTTGTGGCAGATGAAATTATGTTTAATTTAGCACAGTGCCTCTGCTGGAGGTATCAAACGGAAATAATTTGCTTTACATTCAGTCACATGTCAAGTGTCCTCTTTGGTACTAGAAACACATCTAGGAGATAAATAGGCTCCATCTAGGAGATGGACCTCACTCAAGGTGCACTAAAATGAATTTGTTACAGTGAAAGTAGTCGCTGTCTATGAGCGCTTGCTGTGTGTGCTGGACTTAACGCTGGGCGCTTCTGTCTGCTTGGTTATTTAATCCCTGCAGCAGCCCCGTTGGTGAGAAACCTGTGCGTCCGCCCACAGACAGGCTCCCAGTGCGGGAGCCAGGGTTCCAACCCAGGCTTGCCATGCTCTTGGCTTTCCTACTTTCAGCGGCTTGAATTTCTCTTATTAACAGTAATAAAATAGGTCATGATTACAGATCCAATTTAATACTTTAAAAGTCTGTGGACAAAGTTTGCACGGTCCTGCTTATCATCAAACGCGCCCCTTCTGCAGCTTTTCAGGAGCTGCCTGCTCCCGTCCTCTGCGGCCCTGGCGGGTGCTGGCTGGCAGGGGCCCCTGACGGTAGCCAGCTCTGCGGGTGCATACCCCACAGCTTTGCAAAGAGAGGTACAAAACATGGCGCTGTAACAACAATCTCTAAAGTGTCACCTAATGAGAGAGTAGAATCGTTTAAACAGCTCGAGTCCCACCTCACAAAGATGCTTGTGATCCATTGGATGGATAAGGCTGAGCATTTTGAAGATGGTGCCCGGAGACCGCCCCACAGTTTGGGAAGAGATCAGAGAACTCAGATGGCGAGAGAGGGACCAGGTAACAGTCCCAGGTTACAGGTCCTAGAGCATCAGGCTCTGCTACCAGTGTGGCTCGACCCTGGATCTCCGACCCTCCCTGAGACCCTTCTGTCCTCTGCTCATTCCAAAGGGGCGTTTCGGGCTCCAGGCCCTTAGGCTGCATTCGCACCTCAGGAGAGAGACTGTGGAGGCCAAGCTGTCTGCTCGGACAGCTTTGCCACATCAAGTAATTTGTCCTAGACTCCACGGCTGACTTTGCAGCAAGCGCTCACGTGCGCAGGGAAGTCAGACTGTGCATGTGTGTAGATGCAGCACCAAAGGAGG